TGGACATTTCAGAATTTGGTATTGGGTGGTAGAGAGGCAAGTAGGTGGGTGATTGGATCATGTTGACTACTTTATGGAGACAATACTGTCCTGAAAAGATTAAATGATATCTCTTGAAACCTCATGAATTATAGCTTCATGAAATGGAGTTAGTTCTCCCAAGAGTTGGTTGCTATAAAAAAGAGAGAGAGAGAGAGAGAGAGAGCACATGCTGTCTGTTGCATGCACATGTGTTCGCTCTTTCTCTGCATGTGCCTAGCATTCTCTCTGCTTCCATCAGCCATGTCATAAACCTCCCTGTGCCAGGCCTACACCCTTGGACTTCCCAGCCACCCAAATAGTTTTGCATATCTATTTTCTTTGTATATCATCCAGTCTCCAGTATTTCTGTTAACATACAGTAATAAACTAAAACAGACCCCAAAGTAGCCAAAGCAGTGTTGAACAAAAAAGGACAAAGTTGGAGCCACACTGTAAGACTTTTTTTTTTTAATTTTGCTATAGGGCATGTGCACTTGCCAGAGAGACAGAAAATGAGAACTCACCTCCCCGTAGGGGATGTCCATGCCAGAGTCCCTTCTCCTTTGTTCTCTTAGGATTTGGGGCATGCATGCACACCAGCCGGCATGAGTTTTAAACCACCGGGTCCAGGACTCCAACCTCAGTTGACTACATGGGTGTTCAGTACATAACCATTATGCCCTCTGCTGGTCCTTAGACTTCATTTTTTTAAAGAATTATTAAGTTTATATATTATTATTGTTATTTTTTAATTTGATGAGAGAGAAGAAAGTGAAAAAGCAAGCTGCCAGGTCTAAGACTCAAACTGTGGTTGGCCATGTTGGAGTCCAGTGCCCCAGCCACCATGCCGCTTGCCAGCCCTGTAGACTTTGAATTTTTACAGAGACATAAAGAGCATACATTGGAGAAAAGACTATCGCTTCAACAAATGGTTCTAGGAAAAATTGATATCCAAACATATAAGAATGAATCTGGACCCCTGTCTCACCATATATGAAAATCAACTCAGAATTGATCAAAGACTTAAGTGTAAGAACTGAAACTGTGGGAACCAGCAGGTGGGATAGTGGCTATGCTGCTGGACTCCCACGTAATCAACTGCAGTTTGAGTCCTGAACCTGGCGGCTTAAAACTCATGCCAGACATGTGTGCATGCATGCCCTAAATCCCAGAGGAGGATGGAGGAGAAAGGATTGCAGCATGGCCATCCCCCTTGGGTGGGGGTGATTTCTTACTTTCTATCTCTACAGTGAATGCACGCTCTCTATAGCAAAAATCTCTCTGGGAGGGGAAAAAAAAAAAAAAGAACAAACTATGAAACTGATTCAAGAAAACAAAGGGTAAATACTTGAGGACATTGATCTCGGCAAAGATTTTTCTAATAATACCTCAAAAGGCAGCAAAAGTAGACAAGTTGCTGTACATTAAACTAAAAAGCTTCTGCACAACAAAGGAAGAAATCAACAGAGTAAAGAGACAACCTACAGAATGGGAAACAGTAACTGCAGACTACTCATTTGACAAGGATTAATATCCAGGATAAGTACAAACTTAAAGAACTCAGCAGCAATCATAAAAAAGCGAATAAAAACCAAAAAGCAAATAATTCAATTTACCTGAATAGACATTTCTGAGAAAAAGCTATACAAATAATCAAAAAGTATATTTTAAAATTTTCAACATTAGTAATTATTAGAAAAATTAAATTCAAAACCACAAGGTAATATCTCACCTAAGTTTTAAAGAAATTTTTTAAAAAGTAAATAAACTCAGGCCAGCAGGTTCCATGATGGTTAAGGTGCTGGATTCCCACGTGGCCAACCACAGTTTGAGTCCCAGACCTGGTGACTTGCTTTCTCACTTTGTCTCTCTGTCTCTTTCTGGTGAGTTGAAATAATATAAAGAATAAAATTGAATAAATCTTTTAAAAAGAATGTAAATAAACTCTGGCAGAGATGTGGAGAAAGGGCAATTCTAACTGTAGGTTGGAATATAAATTAATACAGCCATTATGAAAAACAGTATGGAAGTTCCCTAAAAGGCCAAAAATAGAACTACTATATGGTTCATTAATCCCACTATTTGGGATATACCCAAAGGAATGGCAAGCAATATGTCCAAGAGATAGCTGTACTCCCATGTTAATTGCAGCACTATATGCAATAGCCAAGATATGAAATCAACTTTATTGTTTATCACTGGCTAAATGGATAAAGAAAAAGTAGTTTATATATACACAGTGAAGTATTATCGAAACTTAAAAAAAGAATGAAATCTTGGGAACCAGCAGTTAGCGTAATGGCTATGTCGCTGGACTCCCACGTAGTCGACCGCGGTTCGTGTCCCGGACCCGGTGGCTTAAAACTCACGCCAGGCGCGTGTGCGTGCGTGCCCAAGATCCTGAGAGGAGAATGGAGGAGAAGGGATTGCGGCGTGACCATCCCCCCTGGGGGGTGATTTCTCGCTTTCTGTCTCTATGTCTCTCTCTGTCTGTCTGGCGAGCGCACGCGCCCTACAGTGAAAATCTCTCAAAAAAAAAAAAAAAGGAATGAAATCTTGTCATGTGTAGCAATATGGATGAGCCTGGAAGATACATGTTACATGAAATAAGCAGGCACAGAAAGACAAATGTCTCATAGTCTTACTCATTTGTGGAAGCTAAAAAATGCTAAAATAGTAGTTACCAAAGACTTGGTCAGGTAAAGTAGAGGAGGAGGTAAAGAGATACCGGTTAATGGGCACAAAATTATAGTTGGGTAGGAGGAATAAATTTTCAGCTTTGATAGATAGCACAGTAGGGTGACTACAGTTAGTAATATTGGGTCATCAGGAAAGTGATGACACATTTTTGCATAGAAAAATACGTCATGGGTTTCTTGATGACCTAACATATTGTATACTTTAGGATAGCTAAAATAGGATTTTAAATATTTCCAACACAGTATTGATAAATATTTGAGGTACTCAATGTGCTAATTACCTCATTTTATTATTTCATGTTGTATTCAAGTATCAAAAAATCATATTGTACCCAGTAAATGTGTACAATTATTATGTGTCAATTTATAAAAGGAAGTTGTGCAGGCAGGAGGGTACCACTGCACATTACTGGAGCCATATGAGAAGACCAAACTATTAGTGCTGTGAAGAAATGTACACGATCCATGAGAACATAAAATAGGAGTCATTTCAGGAGCCAGCGGGGGTGGCATCATGATTAATGTGCTGGATTTGACATGGCCAGCTATGCAGTTGTGGTCTCAGACCTGGTAGCTTGAAAAAAACACTGTGCCCATGTGCAAATGTACCCAAAATTTCAGGAGGAGAAGGGGTTACTAGGTGGCCACCCCCTCCCCTGAGGGGTGATTTCTCACTTTCCTTCTCTTTTTTCTCTCTCAGTGTTTCTCTCTCATTTGGCAAACGCACATGCCCTATACCAAAACCTGGGGGGGAAAAAGTCTATTCTAGTCACTGCACAGCAAGGGGTTTTCGGGAAAGAGGAATTCCCTGAAATTTGTTAGAGAGTTCATCTGAAAGATGCAGCAAGTATATAAGTGGAGAGGAGCTTGGGCTTAGGAAATGAATCGATGATATAATAGCAATCTAAAGAGTATAGGACTGGGGATAGGGAAGGTATGTGGTTCAAGGAACAGGCTAATGTAAAATCACACTGGGTTTTTTAATTTTGTTTTTGTCTTCTTTTTTTTTTGGAGAGGTTTTTCCCTATAGGGCCCGTGTGCTCGCCTGACAGACAGAGAGAGACATAGAGACAGAAAGCGAGAAATCACCCCTGCAGAGGGGATGGTCACGCCGCAATCCCTTCTCCTCCATTCTCTTCTCGGGATCTTGGGCACGCACGCACACGCGCCCGGCGTGAGTTTTAAGGCACTGGGTCCAGGACGCGAACCGCAGTTGACTACGTGGGAGTCCAGCGACATAGCCACTACGCCAACTGCTGGTTCCCTTGTCTTCTTTTTAGAGAGATTTGGTCTTTACCCTGAGGAAAGTGACAAGTTGGGATCAGCAGTTAGCATAATGGCTATGTCGCTGGACTCCCACGTAGTTGACTGCGGTTCGAGTCCCGGACCCGGTGGCTTAAACTCACACCGGGCGTGTGTGCGTGCGTGCCCAAGATTCCGAGAGGAGAATGGAGGAGAAGGGATTGCGGCGTGGCCATCCCCCCAGGGGGTGATTTCTCACTTTCTATCTCTCTGTCTCTCTCTGTCTGTCTGGCAAGTGCACGCGCCCTATAGCAAAAACCTCTCCAAAAAAAAAAAAAGAAAAGTAGTGACAAGTCATCTAAAGTTTATGTAGGACATAAAAAATGATATGATCAAATTTGCAATTTGAAAAAGTCATTCTGCTGTCTTATGGAGAATGGCTTGAAGGCAAGCTAGAATTCATATGGTGAAAAGAATATTTCAGAAGTATAGATGAGAGGATTTTGTTTTTTATTTTATTTTCTTTTTCCTTGAGAGATTTTTTGCTATAGGGTGCGTGCGCTCACCAGAAAGAGAGAGACAGAAAGACAGAAAGTAAGAAATCACCCCCCGGGAGGATGGCCATGCCACAATCCCTTCTCCTCCATTCTCCTCTCAGGATCTTGGGCACACACGCACACGCGCCCAGCATGAGTTTAAGCCACCGGGCTGGGGACTTGAACCACAGTCAACTACATGGGAGTCCAGCGACATAGCCATTATGCTAACTGCTGGTCCCTAGATGAGAGGATTTTGACCAGACCTTCAACAAAGTAAATGTAGCTAATTAAATTAATGGATTCAAGAGTTATTTAGGAAGTAAAATTAATAATTTATTCTATAACAGTGTAATAGTTAACATTTTATAAGTACTTAAACTTCTTTTAAGAAAATTAATGTAGTTTATGTTTTGTGCTAAAAAAGAGATGGTTTTAAAGCAACTGTTTATTGTCAATTTTGCTTTAAAAAATAATTACTCATTTCTTACTCTCATGTTAGTAACCAAAAATTTGAATGAGAAAAGATCAGCCAAATCATCGGAAATGTCTCCAGTACCTATGAGGTCAGCTGGCCAAACAACCAAAGCCCACTTGCATCAGCCCCACAGAGTAAGCCAGGTGCTTCAGGTGCCAGCTGTTAATTTGCACCCCATCAGGAAGAAGGGACAAGCAAAAGATACTGCAATGAGTGAGTATATCCAGTACCTATTTATTTAATTGAAATTTCCAGAGGAATTAGAGTGAAAAATTATTATACATATTTAGGAGATCTGTTTGGTAGGTTGATCCTTACTTCATGAGTTTAAAAAAGGTCTCACTTTCCTTTATAGGTGTTTGATGACAGCATACATGTTTTAAATACTGACATCAGGATTCCTAGCGTACTGAAATCTGTTTATCAACAGAAAATTTATAGCAATATATCTTGAGTACCAAGGGCTTACTGCATTAAAAGGCATATTTAATCAAACATCCAATGCACATACAACCTACAAATACTATGAGAATGAAGTTCCTTGTTCAGAAAATGGTTATACACTCTTTTTCTGAAAACCTAATTGTGAGACAATAAGAGTGTATAAAGTATATAATGTATAGATGGAACTTCATGATTTTTTTACTGTTAGCCATCAGACATTATCCAAATTACTTTTATTTGTTGTTTTACCATTATCAGTATCTTGACTTTTAGATGGGAAGCTAGATTTTATTTGCTTCCTAGTGTTATTATTTAGTTCATGCATTTTAAATACTGGATAGTCAATAGAACTTTATGAATTTTGTTTTGTTTGAGATACCAAGTAAAATAAAAAATACTTCATTTTTGCATAGATCTTTAGTTTGGTGATACAAGCACTCACACAAACAGGTAACTTCAGTATAATGTACCAGGGGTATAACAGCCAGCACGTTGCATACACCGGGATTTAAACCAGCGACATGGAGAGAACATAGAAAAGGCCAAAACAAAAGGAGTTCTTAGCACAGACAGAGATAAGGTGGGCCTGCAGAAGAAGGCAGTTTGGAAATAGCCTCTAAACAGAGTCTTAATCATTAGGCAAAGATTTCAGAGAGGTTGCCTCTACAAGGAGCTACAGATACTTGGCTGACATAGAGTGCAAATTGTATGCAAAGTGCTGAACAAAGATAATTACAGCTAAGATTTAGCACTGTGCCAGACACAGTTTAAAATTTTCCCTAAATATGTATTCGTTTAGTCTTCATAATAACCTGAGAGCAAGTACCTTACCCTCATTCTACAGAAGCCTAGAGGGTCTAAGTAACTTACCTGCCACTGCTAAGTGATAGGTGTGGAGGTTTTTCCCAGGCGGGCTTGCTCTAAAGTCCTTGCTTTTAAGCACTGTATGAAGCATCCTTCCAGAATGAAGAAAATAATCATAACTATGCCCACATTAGAACATGCCATGTTGAAGGTAAGTTGTCAGTGGAAAGCCATCGAAGAGATTTGAACAAAGGACGGGTGTGGTTCTAATTATGTAGTATGGAGCACAGCAAGACTGCAGATAAGAGCTCAGACAAAAAGCTGTTCTAATAGTTAATTAAGATTTTTTTAGTTAATTGGAAGTTACTTTGGGCCTAGACTAATTTTGCAGCTATGGAAATAGAGAGGATTGAATATTGGTTAGGTTGATAAATATGTTGGTATGATTGCAAGAGGAACATCAACTCTGGTATTCTTAGTTGGATATCATCACCTGAAAGGCAGTGTTATATGTACCAGGTAGCTTTCTTCTCTTCTATGGCTGTTATTTAGATGGTAAATGCATTTATATAAAAGTGGCACTTAATGAAGAGTAGCAAGTATCCTGTGACTTAAATGTTTTCATTGTCAAAAGGCTGCTTGTTGCTATGCTAAATCTTTGTTTAAATTGCTCTTCACTGGTTTAGAACAGTGTTAACAGCTGTTTGACATTTTTTAGAGAAGACCTACATAAAAACTAGTGCATTGAAACCATTGCTAAATTTGACCTACACTAAACAGGATCAGCTGTTTGACAAGAGTAAAACTAGATCTTTGCAGAAATGTTTCCAATGGACTTCATACTATTTTTCTATAAACTCATGATTTTTCCCATTGTTTACTTCTCTCCTGTAGTGTGAATTTAGTGCTCTTGAAAAGGGCTGGACTGGCACCCCTGCAGCTTCTTCTGTGTACTCAGAGCACAGATGCACCGCAGGTAGTGACAGTGTCAACGTCCGCACACTGCCCTACAACATGCCTCACACTGACTTGGAGAGGCCACCTCTAGAGGGGAGGGAAGAGTTTAAGTCCATGCTTTCTCCATTAAGATTTCCAACGAGAGTGTCAATTGTGGGTGGTAGGGCACTGTATTCGGTTATTAAATTGATTTCCCTTACGCCACAAAAACAGACGACTTAACTTCTGTACTCTGGTCTGTGCTGACCAGCTGAATTTGAACAAATAACCTAGAGGTGAGAATCTCTGTATGCCATTATCCAGTCATTTAGTCCTTGTTCGTCATTTATACATTTCGGTGAACTACACAAGCTATTTTGCATCATGACTTTAGTTACGTAGTGATTTAGGCAATTACAGACATTCTCATTGTGAAGTGATGCTTAATTGCCTCCTTGGTTTTATTTTTAGGTACAGGGTTACCTCAGAAAGTTTTAGGAACAACTGAAGAAATCAGTGGTAAGAAACATACGGAAGACACTATTTCTGTGGCGTCATCCTTACATTCTAGTCCACCTGCATCTCCTCAAGGTTCGCCTCGTAAAGGTAAGACACAGCAAATTCTGGTTAGGCCAAACAACACTTTTTGGCAAATATTTTGCTTTTCAATCTATAGCAGTAATAGAAAGCATTAAGAGAAGTGTAACTCCTAATGCTTTCTTTTTGAACTTTCATGTTTTGTTTTGAATTATTCAAATGCTTTTCAGGTATTATGTGTCATGTCGCGGGTGTTCCTGAATTCAGAGTGCACTCCTTCACTTCTTTGACAGAGGGCAAGCATAGATAGGAACCAAAGCAAGCGTCAGAGTTGCCTTGGTCTGTGCAGATTCTTGACGGTGTTACCATTCAGGTTTTCTATATTTAAATATTTCTGTGGAATATTTGCACATAAAAATTCCTACAAGACGTTGTTTTTACACAATAGTATTATTTCTTTTTCTAAGCAAGGTTTACTAAAGAAACAAGTATCTAGGTTGATATTTTCCTTTTTTTTAGTAATAAAGTATTTTCTTTTTTATTTGTTACGATTTAAAATAACCTATACCCTCGTGGATTTTTACATTTGTACTTAAATAGGACCTGGTAAGGTGAAAAATCTAAAATCTCCTTGTTCATTTACATATGTTTTGTAATTCAGACTCAGGCATTGCCTTTCTTGGCTAGCCCCAACAGTGTGCTTGTGGATTCCATTTTTATGATAGCTGTACATGTGCTATTCTCAATAGTGTGTGTGTATTTCTTACCTTGGCCCCACACACACACTAAAAAAGCTTCTTAGTCCTAGCATATTCTTCAGAGATATATTAAAAAAACGTACATCTTTATTTAATCACAGCATGAGATGGTACATGGTCAGAAAGAAGGCAAGCCTGTGGATTCTATGAAGGGAGAAACTTGTAGAGTTTGTCTCACTTTCCATGGCCTAAGATTCATCTCACTCTTCAGGGCTCTTTCTTATTTTTGCCACCTGTGTGGTGATTATACATAGCGATGCCAGACCCAAGTTGGAGCCTGAGTCTGTCCCCCACTTTAGCTGTGTTGCTGCAGGTACCTTGTTTATAAGGTCAGATTTACTATATGTAAGGTGGGGAACACCACCTTATATAGATCATCTATTTTAGGGGCCTCGTACAGGGTTAAATGAAATAATATTTGTAAAGCCTCATACGGTAAGTGTTTAGTAAATTGGAATGTCCCTTTCCTATGTTACCCCAGGGCAGCATAGGGCTGTAACCACAGTACTTAGCTGGCCTTTCTGCCTTCACATAGCTGAGACTGGCTAGAACTTTAATTCAGATTTTAATAAGGAAAGCTTAGTAAAAATCATATAGGGCATATAGATAAGCATAAATAGTATATAATATATATTGTTTTTATATATTATTTATATATATACACATATATATATAAATAGGTATGTTTATAAAACACAGGTTTTTGATTCTGTTGTAGCTCATATACAATTTTGTGAGGCATGCAGACCTGTTTGATCTCTTCACTTGTCTGTATGGTTCTATCCAAATTTCCTCTTTACTAGTTTTTTTTCCCCCCAAGAATTATTTTATTTAACTTTACTAATCCATTTATTTATTTATTTCAATTTAAGCAGAGAGGGATAGAGAGAGAAAGTGAGAAAACAAGTCGCCAAGTCCAGGACTCAAACCCTGGTTGGCCATGTGGGAGTCCAGCGCCCTCAACCACCACACCACCTGCCGGCCCTTTTTAAAAACAATCATTTAAAAAATTATTTTATTTAATTTTATTTATTAAAAAGTGGAACTCTTTAAGAGTGGAATGTAGAATGATGGTTGCCTGAAGGATGGCATTGAATGGGAAAGGTGTGACTTTGTCAAAGAGTACAATATTTCAGAAAGAAGGAATAAGCTTCCGTGACCTACTGCACAGATTGGTAAATACAATACTAGTTTTTAAGGATGGGACTGGCAGCACTGCCCCAGTCAGCTGACCCAGTGAACGTCCGTGTGCTCCGTGCTGTTGTACACCACAACCTTTTTAGAGGCCATTCAGAGAGATCTGTTCGGTTATGGGCAACTCTAATCAGGAAACAAGTTGGATCTGATTTGCGGTTCTGTGTTTAAATATGACTGTGAGAAAAGCTGTTAAGGACAAGAATGTCCCCACTGCTCTTCTTGCCAGCAGTAAATCTACTCCCTCCAGTGGAAGAGTAGTCTTCGCCCCATTTTGTCTTAACTGTGTAGCCAAAAATTGACCATGCTGTTTATAGATTCGTAAATCTGTTATAGTCACATTTAGAATTCTTAGAAGCCTGAATAAATTCTTCTTTGCAAAATCATTTCAGATTGTTCTTACATACATGAGGTCTTCAAGAAGTTTGTGAAAGGGACCAGCAGATGGTGTAACAGTTATGTTGCTGGACTCCCACTTAATCAACCGTAGTTCGAATCCTGGACCCAATGGCTTAATTATCATGCTGCATGTGTGAGCGTGCGTGCCCAAAATCCTGAAAGAATAGAGGAGAAGAATTGTGGCATGGCCATCCCCCCACACACACCCCAGGGGTCATTTTTCACTTCCTGTCTCTGTGTTTCTGGCAAATGCACGCGCCCTATAGCAAAAATCTCTTCCCAAAAAAAAAAAAAAAAAAAAAAAAAATTTAAGAAAAAAATTTATTTTTTGG